GTGTAGGGATTATGCAAGCTAATGTTTCTCCAACTGGAATAATTAAGAAAATTAAATCAACTGTAATTTCCCTTAAAGCTCTATTTGAAACTAAACTGCAAATTGACTTTTCTGATTTTTATAGGTATTTGTAATAAAATTTGTATATGCATTTCTACACTTATTTGATCCCTCTAGATGTTGCTGTCTTTCTGCACATTGACTTCAGCTCCTCTGTTTTCACTGTAGGTGCTCCTGTCTCACTGGCTAGTATACAGTTTTGTATTCGCTCCCAGTACAGAGAAAAGTCAATAGAAAGAGCTTTATGATGAGTATCAATGAATGTGCCTTCAGTTCACTGCAGTCACTTGTTCTGGAAGTCACTGTGACTACAGTACAGTAGTTACACAATAAAGCCTTTTGCAAAAACTGAAAGCACGACTGAAGTTCTGATTTTTAACAGCTGTCAGCCACAGATCCTGGAAGAGAATGTTCTTGTACTGCCTCACATGTCGAGGGTTTAAGCTGGAGATACCAACGTGCATCTACAATCCCTGATCAACATGTGTGTGCTCACTGTATTCTGCTGAAAGGTTCCAGATAAAGCCAAGGCACTGCAGCAGTAACAAACTGCTTCTATACTTCCCCAGGTAAAACAGCAGACAGGGCCCCCAGCCTGCTGGGACACAGCAGGACAGTTGCTCAGAGCAGCTGCCTTAAGCAGCAAGGCTGTTACCGACTTCAGTATGTCTCTTGCTAATGACATCATTTTCTCAAGCACGAGCAAGACTGCACTGGGGGCTGAGGCAGGCTGCGATAAACCAGCATGGCTGCAGGGGTGTGCCAGGGGAGCAGCTGCCAAATCACACCCCTAATACCAGGGGCAGGCAGCCCAGTGCCCATCAGCACCCACACAACTGGGCAAGCGCTGCACAACAGCGTTCTGGCCAAAGTCAGGGCGCTGCAGTGCACAGCATTTCCAACAGCACAAACCCGGGTGAGATCCTGGTGCTATTTGGCTGTTCAGTCACCCCCATCTCTTGATGCTTGACAAGTTAATTTATTGAAACACAGTTGTAGTAAGCTGCACAGTTGACAGATGCAGCACTTTTGCTGCTTTGTAGCCTTGCCTACACATCAGTACAGAACCACCTCCCAGCCCCCATTTGCAGCTTCGCAACCATGCCAAGCAGGCAGCTAGGGCCAGCCATGGCTGCACCACAGCCTTGGGGCACTCTGAACCCCCACAGGTTGGGCAGCTGCAGCAGCAAGCGCTGGTTTTCTTCACTAACCCCCCTTGGCTGAGAAACAATTCCCATTTTCACATCCCACAAGGCCAGCTTCCCAGTCAGAATTCTTGTTAGGAGTAGTCAGAATGCTCTTGGCAGATGCATGTTAGAGTACTACAGTCACCAAGGACACAGGAAGTGACCCTTCTGGATGTGTAGCTACACCACAGAAGCTGGAGATCAAGAAGGAATGAGTTCCAGTTTTTAAAAGGAAGATTTATTTAACAAGTTTCACTTAACGCAATACACCTAAAAAGGAAATCACAATACAATGAAAGATTAAATCAAGGCCTCAGAATTTTATACGAACACCAAGACCAAAATCCTAAAGTAGCCGTATTGCGTCTCAACATGTTTCCCCATTAACTTAAAAAAAAAAAGCTTTAACGTGCCTTACAGGATATTAAAAGAAATAAACTAGAACTAACATGCCAAATGTTCACTTTGAATTTCAGACACAGCTCCTATATTGTTTCTTTACAAAAAAGCATGTCTCTTTCAACATGTATTCAAAACAGTGTTGGATGTAATATGGTATAAGAGCAACATTTAACATAATTCAAACAGCTTTAACCTAAATACGCTTACTGCTTAAATACACTCCTACAACAAAACTAGCTTGAGAAACGCTCAAAGTTGTTTAACAGTTATAGTCTTTACTCAACTTGGTTATTACATCCTAGATGAATGTTCATTTCTGTATTTTCAAAAATACTGAACCTGGAAGATTTTAAAATAACAATCCTGAATTCACTTACAGTAAAGCATAAATCACAAGCTTGTATTGCAAAACTGTTAAACTTAGTTTTTTGTTTTTTTGTTTTTTAAAAAAAGATTTGACCAAAAGTCGGCAATTGGTTACATTCCCCAGCCACCACTCATGTTGGACATGTTCGACATGCCACCCATGCCGTTCACTCCCATGGAGGCGCGGTTCCCACTGCTGTAGTAACTGCTGTTCATGGCGCCCTGGCTCCCGGGGTCTGAGGGGGAAAACCGACAGCAGGTTCACAGCTGCCTCGGGCCGATTCGAAGCATCACTCCCCCAACGCCTGTCCTTGCTGGGCCACCTCGTAAACACCATCTACTGTGCCCAATACTGCAAAGTGTCAGTTCACAGCTCCATACCCAAAATGACGTTCAGTGGTTGTTCAATGAGAGAGGCAGCTCTGCCTTGCCCTCCTTTTCAATTCAGTGTTTTCTATTGCTGTTCTGTGGAAGTGGAGAGGACCCAGCCTCCCAGGTACCTTCCCATTTGTACTCATGTATTTAAACCAGGTTGGTCTCCAGCTTCCATACTGAGAAGCTAAGAAGTCATCAGCATGATGAAGTCTGGAGATTGGCATTTCCTACCCCCTTCAGAATAATTTCCCATATTTCCCCCCCTCAGCAACAAGTTCCCACTTTGAATCTATTCCCCTCCCGTTTTCACAATGGCCAAGTCTTCAACTTCCAGGGCTCGCGCTGCCCAGTCTGTACCATGGCCCGTCAACCAGCACCTTAAGGCATGCTAAGCCAGCTGCACTGGGCCCACCTAAAACCAGTGAAGAAATGCTCTTACCATATCCACTCATGCTGCTTTGACCACCATATCCTCCTCCATAACCCCCACTCAACTGCTGGTTAGCTGGACCACCATAACTGGATTGGCTTCCTTTAAGTTAAGGATAAAAACGTTAAGAGCTTGCCTGTCAAAAAGTCTGCTCATTATCAACAAATCCACCCTTCCCCTAACACCTGCACCCTGGCACTAGCGCACTCTCTCCCCAAGCATATAAGGTAACAAGCTCAAAGAAAGTGATCGGGTTTCTAAAGACATTCCTACAATCAAGCGGCAACAAGAACTTTAAGAATTACAGCAAGCGCTTGTGATTCTCAACCACGTGCTGTGAGGGTTTGCTTTTGCAGTTTCTATGGACTATACACAACAGGATCGATCTGCTATTGTATATAATACACACCTCAAGGAATTTAAACTTGGCTTAAAGTGACCTCACACAGGAGTGCTGCCCATGACAGTACCCAGCCCTTCAGGAGGCATGCTGACCCGTTAACTGCAGGCACTCGTCTGTCTGTAGTCCCGACAGAGATGCCCTGATGTTCCAGGCTGGTTGTGCATCACAGCAGTGCTACAGGAGACCTCTACTGAAGCTTGCCAACTACTGCTCTTCACCTCACCACTCATCTACGCCCCCCCCCCCTCTGCTCCCCCACCCCCCTCACCCCCCCCCCCCCCCCCCCCAAACTGTTCTGTAGTTAAAGTATCAGCATCAGACTTCAAACATTTTGTAATCAAAGCACTATAAAAGCAGCAGTGTATCTACACACGCATACACCCCCACCCCACCACCCTGGCGAAAGAAAACCCCCCAAAACCCAACCACCACCTTAATCTCTAAGAAACCAGACAAGTCAGGTATCAAGAAGGGTATCTGCTTTAGAGACGCAACAGTGGCTTTAGACTTGCGTTGCAAACACACATTTTATATCTTAAAACAATTTTGAAGTTTTCTAGAGCAGTTCAGACAGTTTCTCCAAATTCCAAATAGATTTTCCCTCACCATCAAGACCAGGTTTGCATGGCAGGCCACAAGCAACAGATACATCCTCCATCACCAGACTATGTTCTGGTCTCCAAAAAAAGGGAGGGGGAAGGACAATAAAAAGGACAGGCATCTCCCACTTCACTTCCACACCACCACACTCCCAGGCCGCTCACCCGCCCACGCACACCACATTCAGCACCACAGCTTATTCAAGCTATTAATTGTTCAAATGTATTCCCAAAAGGTTTATATACCTGGCAATGTGCTAGTGTTCCAATCTTGGACTACCCCTTCCGATTCCTTGACTGTGTGATTAAGACAGAACGTTGAATTTCAGTTTTTATGCCAGGCATAGAATAAGCAGGAGCTGTATAAAATTAGCCAGCTTCGTTAAATATCAAGTGTTGTTTAAAAGTGCAGTTAGACTGTTTACACATACCCATTGCTCCCATCATTTGACTGCCATAGGCACCACCACTTCCTCCTGCTGTAGAATTCAAGAAGAGTTCTACATATCTGTGTTCTGGAAGAAGAAAATTTTGCCATGAGAGCATTTCACACCAAACCCAGGCATAGTTTGCCCCACTGCAAGTAAGGCTGCAATAAAACCTTTGGCATTCTGGTTACAGCAGATGCACTACACTGCAGTGCTGCATTTTCCCTAAAGCCACGTATTCAGAACAGTCATACTTACGCATATTTGCTTTGTCTTTGGACATAGCAGCCACTGCATCCTCATGAGTAGCAAATTCAACGTCTGCCTCTCCAGTTACTCTGCCATCTGGTCCGATTTCAATGTGTACTCTTACAGGGTTCAGAGGTGAGAAGAACTACATACGAAATAGTCACACGGATTAAAACGCACCAATGCAACAGTTCATTTTCACAGCAAGCTCTTTTCTCTAAGGGAACACTCATTAACTGCAGTGCAGCTGACACATCCAATAACGACCCCAGAATCTTAAAGCCATGCACTTAACAGCAAATTTAAAGCCATGCACTTAACAGCAAATTTAAAGCCATGCACTTAACAGCAAATTTAAAGCCATGCACTTAACAGCAAATTTAAAGCCATGCACTTAACAGCAAATTTAAAGCCATGCACTTAA